TAGCAGTTCTGTACATAGAACTTGTAGGTGTGTTCACTATTCGTTCAACAAAGGGGGACTGGCACAATGGCTTGAATACAAAGTGCAATTCAATTGATGATTCTCAAGTCTTATTCAGGAATAGGATGTAAGATCAGAACTTTGGGCTACTCAGCTATGAGAGTGGGTGTGTTTGGGGTGCAGACTGGAGTCAAATACAGTTTGATGAGTGTAGGTGTAGTTTGGAGGGTCATAGTTGTAGTTTGGAGGATAGGTGCAACACTTCAAATGAGGTTTGAAGTGAGACTGAGCTCTGCTGAGTAGGGAATGTGATTCTGCATGAGTCTTGCTACTAGGGGCTGAGTACTGCTGTACAACCAAGTGTGACAGTTCTTAAATATCCCTCATCATGCCCAAACTGCCTGAGTCACCACCTCCACTGCCCTGAGCATGCCTAATGATCCCAATACCCTCCCAACATTAGCCTGACACCTCCATCAGTTTCAACTCCCATCCCATGTGCTACGTCCTGCTAGTCCCAGAGACTCAACTGTTATGAGCCTTGGCATTGTGACACAAGCACACTGACCTAATGTGTTGCCCAATGGCTCTGCATTGGGTGTCTTGGTCTCTTGGTGATGGCAATTTTCCCTCAAAGATGAGTTCCTGGAATAAGGCCCTCTTCAAAAGATCCCAATTGGATCGTAGTGAGATTGTGACTTCTCAAATATGTTAAAGAACCAGGTTTGGTCAAAGGTGTTTTTGTGTTGAGGTATTGCAGACTTCCCCAAAGTCAGATGCTTTCAACACTTCAAGTGTCAGTTTTGGCTCAAAACATGCCCATGCTTACATGGTCCTATCACTGTTTGAGTGAGCTATCAACACTACAAGCCCTCACCCCTAACAAGCTTCCCTGTGAAACAGTAACTTACCCTCTACTTCATATCCCCCAGATTTAGGGTTAGGTTTCCTGAGGTCACTGTTACAGTGTCACAGGGGGGGTTTCTTTCCTGTTCCTAACTATTCATCATTGACCCTGTACTATACAACTGATCCCATCACTTGATGTGTTTCACCTATATCAGTGTTTCATATCTATTGTGTTTCACCTTCATCACTAATACAACCCAGTGAAACTGTTTCATGTATATCACTGATCCAACTCAATATTTCATACTTATTAAACTCTATTTGTGTAGCACTATTTAAGTAGCACTGCATGCGCTACTGTACTTTAGTTTTGTCCTCTTGTTCCCTACGTACCTTCATAGGCACAGTGTCCCTCAGTTTAGACTCAATTGTCTATACCAGTCTCAGTCGGAAGTGTTGCTTCAACCAGTATACTTTCTCAAACCACTGCCAGTTGCAGT